TAAGCCCTTAACCCTAAACCTAAAGCCCAAAGCCCAAAACCCTAAAACCTAGAGAGAACTCTAAACCCTTAACCCTAAACCTAGCGCCCCAAAGCCCAAAAGGCTAAATCGAAAAACCCTAAACCCAATGCCCAAAATCCTAAACCGCCTATCTGCGGAATAGAAAGAGGCCCTTAAAAACCATACAAAACCTCGGGGGTGCATCCTGAAGTCTGCAATCAAGCGGCTGGCTTTTCGTCAAGCAGCACCAGGCAACAACTCTTTCTCTCTCGCACTCTGTCTCTCTTGCTTTCTATTTCTCTCGCGTTCTGTCATTGTCTGTCTCTCCCTCTGGCCCCGTCTCTGTGTCTGGCGCTGTGGGGCCAAAGGTGGCTTCAGGCGTCATGACTGCCAAAGTCACGCCGAACCTTGCATTCCAGGCACCGACGGAACAACTCGGTCACAAGCCGCTTCTCCACCAACAGCCTTAACCGACCCCGAACACTTCGCCCCCAAGCCCGACCACCCTAAAGCCCAGAAAACATCATACAGAAGCATCAACAAGCCTAAAATCTTAAAGGCCTGGAATGGTGTATGGGGTTCTAAGTTTCAGCCGAGTTAGTTCCCTTGGGTATTTTGTCGCAAACCTCCTGTAAGAATTTTACAACCGGGAAAGAATCGGGTACTCTTAGTACTCTTAAAGGGAGATTTTTGTGAATGCAGCTCTCATATCTGACTCATGTGGGTGGTTGTCAAAATTATGATCCTTTTTTGGGTCCCTATTATAATAAGGCACCTACTACAATCCTAAACCCTAAACCCTGAACCCCAAACGGGGCCTTAATTTTGACAACTCCCATGTCTCTCCCGAGGCCGATGCCTTCTTGGCGTCGCGGAAGAATTCAGGCGCCTCTACCCAGAGAGCCCAATACCGCCAATACCGCTTGGTTAAGGATTGCTGGGGTCCTTTACTGGATCCTTTAAGGGATCTATAGGGTTTAGGGTTTAGGGGGTTCTAATAATGAAGGAAGATACCTTAAATCAGAATATTAAGAACCCTATAGTTTAAGGTATACTCCTTAATTAAGGGGTATGGGGATTTTTGGGTACGTTGTTCGCATCTGAGTTTCGGGTTGGGAGAAGAAAAGCGGGCATTATGGTCAAAGGTTGAGGGCCTGAGAGCATTAGGACATGGGATGTGAGGTTTTCAGGCTTGTGTTTGTGCTCTCATCCCCAACATTGAGGTTCTGGGTTCTTTTGTGTGTTTTCAGGGCGTAAGAGGGCCTTGGGCCGGCTTGGGGGGTTTAGGATTTCGGGATCCGCACCCAACTACTTTGGGAGGTTCCAGGTTCGCTGGAGTTGGAGCCGACTCAGCGGATGCTTCATAAGTAATATATGGGCCTTAAGAATTACCTACAGGGTTCTTGGGCCGATTATACTATAATTACCTATACTGTTTTGGGGGTTCCTTATTATGATTATAGTATACTGGGCCCCAAAACCCTAGTCTAACTAGTAAGGCACCTAGAGTACAGCCTATTGTTTCGACCGTCCCGTCCCCGGCTGTGGAGGCATGAGTGAAAGCTTGAGAAACGCATTGACCACGACGCTTGGCGGCAAAGCACACCCCAAACCCTAAGCCCCAAACAGGCGCTACACCCCAAACCCTAAACATGCCCTAGACCCCGAGCCAAAAACAGGCCCTAAACTTAAACCCTAAACCCTAAACCCTGCCCTAAACTGAACCCTTAAGTGAGTGCCAGACCGAGAGTTCTGTCGGCCTTTCGGGAAACTCCAGTTCCGAGTTCAGAACTGCAGAATTTGGGGACTGAGCTCTGCGCTGCAAACATACGGTTCGTGTGAGAGAGAGAGAGAGAGAGAGAGAGAGAGAGAGAGAGAGAGAGAGAGAGAGAGAGAGAGAGAGAGAGAGCTGGGCGGGCCTAGGCCTGGGGGGCGCGCGCGACCCCTTACGCCCTGCAGAAAGAAAGAGAGAGAGAGAGAGAGACAGAGAGAAAGAGAGAGTGATTCAGTGAGTGAGAGAGTGAGGGAGGGAGAGAGGGAGAGAGGGAGGGAGGGCCAGAGAGTCTTGTGAAGCCTCAGAGCCACCTTAGTCAGGATGCCTAAAGTCGTCAAGTTGTCTGTTATTCCGGGGGGCTTCAGCTCTCGGGTCTCGGTGGCTGGAGAAGTTCAGGTTGTCAGTTTGGTCCCGCTCAGAAGGTCGTCAGTGAGCAGTCTTAGACGTGCGTAGAGTTTTCGTCTTCTTGGCTTTGGATAAAAAGAGGTAAGTTCTTGGGGAGTCCTTCGCATAGAGCCTGCCTTTCTCAGGATGCTGTACCATACTGGCCGGCTTCTCAATCGACCGGGCTTGGCACGTGACTCCATCAGCCTAGAACTATCACTCTTCCCTCGGTGCGCAGAGAGAGATGCTTGCAGATGTCGTTGTCTGTCCTCCTCTCGCATAGTGATGCTTTTGCGTCCCACACTGTTGTCCACATCCAGGATCAAGAGATCGGATGAGTTCGGACTTCGTAGCGCACTGTTGTGGCATCGTCGCTACATGCTCAGTGTGTGCAGTTTTGGGCGGCTTTGTATGTGCGGCCTTAGCCTTAGTCCATGTAACTTCCCCGCGAAGCCGGGAAAGCTGGTGTCCACAACGAGCAACGTAGGTCCTGAACCTGTAATGCACGCTCTCCAAATCAAAACCGGCCTCCCAGCTCACGCCCTGCAATCTGACGTCCCTGAACCCCCAGCACTAACTCCCAAACCAGGAGCCAAAACCCGGAAGCCCTAAATCCTGAGCCCCAAACCGCATCCTGCGGGGATCCGGCGATCTTTTCTTCCCACAAGGCACACCGTCCTCTCAGTTCATGCTTGCCGGGGGCCCTGACAGTTTGGGGGTAAGCGTTGATGCGCGCAGTCATGGGAAGCGAATCACCTGTAGATGAACGGCATAAGAATTGGCACGATGTCTCAGGGTACTTGAAAGAGATCAGAGCACGTTGAAATTCGAGGAAATCGTGCACTTGCTGAATAGGCCTTATGAACAGCGAAGCTGCCAAGTTCGACAAGACTGTAAAGCCCCAGGGTGGAAATCCAAAAAGCTAAGCCGCAAAAGTCTTGAGCTCGGCATCCCAAACCACGAATCCTTGCAGAGTCTGCCAAAGGGATCCCGAAAAGGCACATCCGAAACCTCGCCAGCCGTCTACCCTAGCTAGAGGAACCCTTAAAACGAACGCTTAAAGCCCTAAACCCCTCAACGTAAACCCCCCAAAGCCCTAAACCCTAAACCCCCTAACCCTCCTAAAACCCTATAACCCCTAAACCCTAACCCCCTAAACCCCCTAAGCCCCTTAAACCCCCTAAACCCCTAAACCCCCTAACCCTCCTAACCCCCCCCTAGAGCTCGGAACCGCAAGGTCATCGCCACGAATCGGCCGCATGACTTGGATAGCGCCTGGGTCTCGGATGCGAGGGGCCCCTTTTTGAAAGGACCCCTAGGCATTTAAGGGATCAAAAAGGGTTCCATAAAGGGTTTAGGGTTTAGGGTTTAGGATTCCTTTAATAAGGACCCCTAGGTATATACCCTTAATATAGCTGTTATAGACCCTTAGTAAGGGCCCCTAGGTTTTTTAGGGTTTAGGGTTTAGGGTTTATATAGCTATTTTATACCCATTATATAGCACGTTATAGGGTAGGGGTCCCCATGAAGGGTCCCTCCTTTTCCCCTTTGACTTGAGACTCTAGGGTGCAGAGTTTGGGGTTCTCAGGGTTGAAAGGTTTCAGGGGTTTCGTTCTAAGGTTTTAGGGTTTCAGGGTTTTACGGTTTCAGGGTTTTAGGGTTTAGGGCTTCAGGGTTTTAGGGTTTTGGGTGGTAGGTTTTTTTTTAGGGCTTATGGTTTAGGGTTTAAAGTTAAGGTTCGGGGGTTAGGGTTTAGGCATTCAAGCGTTGACTTGGGTCTAGGAGTTTAAGGATGAAGGTTTTGCACTTGGGCGTCTAGCCTTTGGGAATTTCAGAGTAAGGTGTAGGATTTCAAGTCTTTGGGTTCGGGAACTTAAGATTTAGCTTCTAAGAGTTTAGTGTTTAGCGATTTAGCTTTGTGGGATTTGTGGAGCGCCTAAGAGTTCAGTGATGCGGTTTTTGAGATGGTGAGTGTGTCGTACTTCCGGTTTGCATATGGGAGTTTCCGAATCCGAAAATAGGAGACCATTATTAATATAGTACCCTAAATAGTAAGATCCTCATTTTAAGGACCCCAAAATATGGTACCCCTAATTTGCTGAACTCCCCATAAAGATCTTGTGTATCGATGTTGTAACACGGTGTCCCCCCGTGTCCTGGGCCCAAATGGGCTGAGGCAATTCTCGATCGTCTGGACGAGAGCGTTGAGTTTGGACTGCCGGACATAGATGCCAGGAAGGCCCAGAAGAACCCAGAGACCCCAAAACCCCTTAGTTACGGGACTATACTGTACCTTAAATCCTATTCGGGATCCTATTAGAATAATTTTTAGGTATATTCCATTTTTAGGTACATTCCATAATTAAGGGCTTTTGAAAAGCTCGAAGCCGTCTCAAGGATTGGCAGCTTCGGGGGATTGTGCTTGGGAGTTGGCTGCAATTTGGGCACATGAGTGCGCGGTCTTTAGCATGAAAGGGTCTGTGAAACCCGAAACCCTAAACCTCGCTGCACGGCGTCCGTGCGTTGCGAAACTGCAAGCTGACCCAGTGGAAATGAAGTCGGAGTGCACATGCAGTCAAAGAATCAAAGATAGTCTTCAGACGATATGTATGCCCGCGCAATCTTAGCAGTGTATGCTCGGTGATGATCCGGCGATGGGCTTTTCTTAGAGCAAGAACAGAAGCACTTTCAGTGCTTTGCGAGGATTTTCAAGGTTCTTCTGCCCTCCCCGCGTCACATGGCACGCTAAGCTCCACAGTGAGATTAATCCCTGGAGGCCGTATCTTAAGGCCAAAATCCGAGCTGCGCAAGTCTACGAACAATCATCACCTAACGCAGCAAGATGAGCAAGATCCCGAGTGGTGGCCCCGGCTTCGATCATGTGGCGAAGTTTCGGCAGGGCATGGTGCAGCTGTACTATGACAAGTACATCGCCAAGCCGCTGAAGCTTCCAGTTGTGAGGTGCTTGTGTGCTGTTTCGTGATTCGGGGTTTAGGGCTCCCCGGTGTGTGCCTACATGCTGTAGAGTGGGACTTGTGGAGGTGTGTGATTTGGAGACTTCGCAGTACCCTTTTCACTCTTATTGGCATGGAGGTTGGGGGATGGTTGGGGTTCCGGCGGGGTGGACGTTTCAGGTGCACTCCCACGCATGGAATTTCCTAGAGGCCCTAAACCCTAAACCTGAGCCCTAAACCCTGAACCCTCAGCCCTGAACCCTAAACCCTAAAACCTGAGCCCTAAACCCTAATGTGTGTCTCCACCACCAGCCTTAAGCGCCAGCTCTGGATCTCCAATGCTCCGGAAGCCGCTGGCGGCTCAATGCCGGGAGGGCGTTGGGATGGGGGGGTCGCTGAACCTGAGGATTCTATATGGGTGGTTGTCAAAATTATGGTCCCTTTTTGGGTCCTTAAATATTAGGTGCCGTATCATACTAGGGACCCAAAAAGGGACCATAATTTTGACAGCCACCTATATGGGTTCCTTAAGGGATCTATAAGGGATCTATGAGGGTCCCTTTCAGGGATCTGTAAGGGATCTATATGGGTTGCCTTAAGGGGTCTATAAGGGTTCTATAAGGGATCTATAAAGGGTTCCTGTAAGGGATCTGGAAGGGCTTTTTCAAGGGATCTATGAGGGTTCCCTGAACCTGCGGAGTCAGGGTTTCGGGTTTAAGAGTTTGGGAAGCGCTTGTCGGAGAACCTAAACCCTAAACTCTAAACCCCAAAAAAACTAAGCCCTAGCGTCTAACCAAAAGCCGAAACCCGAAGCCAGACATCTATCTATCTATCTGCCTGTATGTATATATTATATGTACATAGGACAATTAGGGTTACGTATATCTGTGTTTAAACAGGTAGATACAGATAAACATGTACATTGCATATAGCATATATATATATATATATATATATATATATGTATAGTCGGGTTCCATATATATATATATACATATATATATATATATAACTTAGCTTCTCAGCGGCCCAGGGACCAGCCGAATGGACTTCGGAGGCGGTCAGCGGCCCAGGGCAGTCACGGGTGTAGCGGGGAATACCGAGTGCCAGGGAACTATCAGTTCTAGTCATGCCCTTAAACACAAAAACCCGTAAAGACTAAGCCGTAAACCCTGAACCTTCTGTCTGGTACCTGCAGTCGGAAAAGGGCCCGCAACAAAAAAAAAACCTTCTGAGAGGCTATGTCAAGTTAGATTAACATTGCCTGCCTCACAGAGGCTCTCTGCTGGATCGCTGGAAAGAGGCGCTCAACAAAAACCCTAAACCCTTGCAGTTCCTCCTCCTGGCACGGTCAGAGCTTGAGGGGCCCAGGCTCCAGACGTAGAGGCATGGGGGCTTCAGGGGGATGAGGATTGGTCTAGGGTTGGAGGATAGTAGATAAGTATACAGTGTAGTACAGTATTATATATTTAGTATAGTATAGTTTGGGGGTTTCCGTGTTTGTGCGCGATGGGGGGATTTCGGGGAATGGCTTGGGCTTCTGGATGATCGCGAACGGGCGCGAAACCCTTCAACCTTCAATTCAGAACCACGCCAGCTCAGGAAATGTCAAACATCGACTCGAGCCTACCAAAAAAGCGGCTACCGGGTGCTCCGATGACCACAGTCCACCACGGAACTACAAGGTTGGACCCTAAACTATTCGCTTACGGATTCAATGACGGCCGAAGAAGAAACCCCAAACCCCAAAACCTCAAAACGTCAAAACCCTGCGCGACCGTGACCAGGCTTGACGGAAGGGCGCTCGTAGGCAGCAGCGATCTGCCGGCGCTCTCCGTGTTCGGCTGCTTGCAAGACCGACAGAAGAAACACCGATGCTTTCAGGTCCAGGGCCTAGGGTTCATGAACCCAATCCACGGCAAACTGCAGTTGGCATAACAGAGATCGTGGCCGCAACCAGGCTCAAACGCCCAGCCGAGAACCGCCGCAACCTCCCCTCCCCCTAATCGCTAAACCCGAAGACCCTCACATGAACACCCTAAGCTCGAAATGTTAAGAACAAACCCTTGAAATTTAAACCTTGAACCCATCAGCTCTAGGCCCCCAACTCTCACCGGGGTCCAGAATCCCCGCTTTCCCAAGGCTCCCCGGTAGCCCGAAGCCGCTGCAGATCCCCAGGCACGCAGCGGGAGGGTGTAGGGTTGTTTTCAAAGGAGCTTCTAATTACTCTAAGCCTTCTAAAAGGGTTACTACACAGACAGGTTACAGAAGGCTGCTGTAAGGGTCATGATCACGGTTACCGTAAGGATTTTCGTGTGCAGGATTTCCGGTCTGTTTGTGTTTGTTTGCAGCCTTTTCATGATGCGTGGCGGGCTCATGGACAGATAGTTTGGCCAGATTAGAGTTTAGGGAGATAAGCCGGACGGGTGGGAATGAACCGGTGGATAGAGAGTCAACAAGACAGCGATACCAGGCAGACACATGGGTAGCTGTCAAAATTATGGCCCCTTTTGGGTACCCTAAATAATAGGTGCCGTATTATAATAGGGATCCAAAAAGGGACGATGGACAGCAGCTACCGGTGGCACGGCGGAGAGCGACGGGTCGCAGTATTTGACGAGGTCGGGCATCACCGCTCCAACAAACTGCAAGTCCCAAACCTCTCTTAATCGCCTTGGAGATCTTAAGTAACCTCACAGCAGTGACATGGAGTGCAAGGTTCATGGGCATGTCCAACATGCCTTTAACAACCGCGGTGTACAATAGGGGCCAAATAAAAAGTCTAGTATAATGGGCTCCAAAACCCTCTTGTAATTGTTAAGGCCCCTATATTACTTTCCGTGAACGCCCAGGGAGGAGGAGGTGGACGAAGCGACAATGGCCATTGTGGCTTCGCGGATCAACGGCTTCAGTGCCTCACTCGGTCAGGCGTCTCCAGGTAAAAGAGGGGGCCTTAATAAGTAGAATAGTTTGGGGGTGTATTATACTATAATTATAATATGGAACTCCCCAAAACCCTATTCTAGTTTTTAAGCCCCCTGTAGTAAGCCCTTGAGAGCTGCCTCCGAGCCTCTTAGCAAGCACGCAGGCGGCCCAAACCCCAAACATGAAGTCGCACCGGTCGACTGTCGCAGCCGTTTAGCATGGCGCTTTTTGGGATCTTACGACCATGATAGAGGCACCCCTCAGCAATCTGGGCTGATACAGGGTTGCAGACCCAGATCTTCAGCTGCGATGGTGCCACGAGGCAAGACGATGGACCTATGATGTTGGGGATGACGATGATTGATGATGCCGATGATCACGATGATGTCGGTATTCTGGGATGAGGCTGGCAGTGGGGCTGTTGCTGACGACGATGGTTGGATGATGATTGCGATGAGGACGATGCACCAGTGGTAATAATGATGGTGTCGGTAATGACAGTGAAGGTGCTGTCGCTCAAACCGGGAGCCTTCAACACCCGACATCCTGGATGCTTCGAGCTGTGATCTCTGCAAGCAAAACCTCGACTCGATACCAACGCGCTCGATATTGTGAGAGGGATGAACATCTTCTAGCGGGCTTCTGTGTCCTACTCTGACTTCCCACCCTTGACGTCATGAACCTCAAGCCCTCTAGTACCCTGCTTGTGGTTCGCTTCTTGCAGCCCAGGCGGTCGTGAGATCTCGAAGCTGTTCACCTCGCTGCAGACGCGGAACTGGCTTGTTGTAGAGGACAGTAGCCAGTCCAGGGGCAAAGGCCTTATAGATGTGTATCTGTATGTATATTTACATGTACATATATACATATAGACAAATACATATGTATGTACGTACACACACATACATACACCCATGCATACATACATAAGCATACATACGTACATACATCATATACATACATACATAATCATACATACTTACTTACATACATACATAATCATACTTACATACATACACAGATGCATGCATGCACACATACATACATACATACATACATACATACAAATACATACATACACACGCGCACGCAACCATCTATCTATCTATCCATCCATCCATCCATCCATCCCTCCCCGATGCATGCGCATATCTATCTATCTATCTATCTATCTATCTATCTATATATATATATATATAGATATACACATATGTATGTATATATGTGCATAAATATAAATATATACATATATATATATATATATATATATATATATATATATATATATATATATATATATCCGGTTCTGTATATATATATATATATACATATGTATATATATACATACACACACACACACACACATCCAGGCTGGAGGCCTGGGGTACAGTAGAGGAGCTACACTATGGGAACGGCATCTAGCTGTCCGCGACAGTCAATATCAGGCATGCCGATCTGCATAGAACCCTCATGCGATTGCACCCTGAACCATAAACTTCGAGGTCTGCAACCCGCAATCTCAAAGTCTAAAGCCGCGGCTTTGGGGTTGAAGGTGCAGCAGTTTCTGTAGGGGTTTAAGCCCCAAAGGCCCCAAAACCACACAACAAGCCCTGACCCAAAGCCCAAACCCCACAGGCCCAAAGCCGTGGGGCCCCCAAAAGTCTTCATAGATAGGTCCTCTGCAGGACTAGAAGGGAGATTAATTGCAATTTAGGGTTTTGGGTACAGGTAAATAGGTGGCTCTATAGGAAGCCAGGCCACAAAACCACGCAACAAACCCAAAAAATCACCCAAACCCCAAAGGCCCAAAGCCGCGGAGCCAGGCATGTGCTGTACAGCGACACCACCCATGGCAGACCGGTCTGCACGAGGTCCATGCTGCTCGAGGCTCTGGACTTGGGGAAGATTTGAGCGTTTAGCTTTTGTTAAGGGCCCTTTTGATAGAAGTTTAGCGGTCTAGGGGTTTAGGGTTTAAAGGAAGGCTCCGGGGCGTTATGCAGCTCTTGGCAACGCGATGTTCCTTCGAGGATCATTCTCCGGCTCGTGCTGTTTCGTGTCCCGATGAGCTCCGCCCCAACTCGAAAGAATCAGTCAGAAGATCGTGATCCCAACACAGTCTTCATCAATTTGAGAAGCCCTGCAGCCCTGAATCCTCGACCTACAACCGCCCTCGCACTGAAGACTGGAGAAAAGGCTCCAAACAAGGCGCTCTCGAAACAAAAAGACTCCCCGTATGTGTCACCTTCAACCATCCCCACTCGCAAAAACTCTCGTGTGGCCATCAAAAATCCTCGGCGCGGAAGCTTAAGCCGATGCCCGAGCCTTCAACCCAAGACCCTAAACCGCCTAAACCACCTCAGAGGCCCTCAACCCCACCGACCCTAAACCCAAAAACCCCAAACCCAAAGCCTTAAACCCAAAACCCTAAACCCAAAGACTTAAACCCAACACCCTAAACCCTAAAGCCCTAAACCCAAAACCCTTAAACCCTAAACCCTAAACCCAAAAGCCCCAATTCCCTCCCCCTAAACCGTAACCCCCGGAATCCTGTCGGATTTTTGGACCTGCCCCCGCTTTCAGGTGGTCGATCAAAAAGTCGCGGAGCACGGACGGAGCCACGAGTTCCAGGTTCCTCTTCAGGGTTTCAGGAATTAGAGTTTAGGGTTTAGGGTTCAGGGTTTAGGGTTTAGGGGTTTGAGGGTTTAGGGGACTAGGGTTTACAGCTCAGGGGTTTAGGGTTTTGGGTTTAGGGGTTTATGGATTCAGCTTTCGGGTTAGGAGTTGTGGAACTCACAATAGACCCTGGGCTCTAAATTGACACTTGCAGAACTCGTACTAAGAAGCCGTATGCTATGCGGGTGGTTGTGGAAATTATGGGCCCTTTTTGGGTCCCTATCATAATACGGCACCTATTATTCAGGGTACCCCAAAAGGGACCCTCATTTTGACAACCACCCATGTAGTGTAGTGAATAGCCCCGAAACTCACTCTCCTGCGGAGCCCGCAAGAAGTTTCAGCATGGCCCAGCGTCGAGGATGCCGCTGCTGCAAAGATGCAAGATATGAGTTCGATGCTCCATGCCATATTCCGTCAAAGGACGCAGATGGAAAGTAGTTGTTTTGTTTATGTCATTGAAAGTCCAGCTTCTTCGGAACCAAGAATTGACCTTCTGAGTGAGATAGCTTGCAAGTCCGTTTTTGTCTTGATGTTCAGTCGGCTGAGTCCGTAGACCAACTGTGTCAATTAGTCAGTGGCTCCCACTTGCTGTTCAGCGAGCTCCGACTTGTTTTTCAGCGAAAGGAAGACCATGAACTACGCGTCGGCTAGGTTGAGGCTTTTCGAGAAGTCGAAGGCAACCTGTTCAGGCGCCTGTGCTAGCAGAAACCTGCTTCCTAGGTTCCAGGCCCAGATACACAAAGCTGGGGAATCTTCCTGCGAAGATTTCCCACCCGCACACGCCGAAGCCCACACTGCAGCACAGTTTCCAATGAACCCGGGACTCGAAAACTGGAGCAGCCGGTAATTACTATTACGCCTGCGCCCGTCCAGACAAGCGGCTACGAGTACCAGCACCATGAAGCCCACCGTGCGCAGCACGAGGCGCGCCCGTGCCAAGCAGACAATGTTCTACGGCGTAGGGTTCAAACACTTCCGTTCAGGGTGGCCATCGTGAAGCACTAATAACGTTCGAAAACTCTAAAACCTAAATTTTTCTTCCGTAACTGCTGAGCAGGAGCGGATTCTTCATCACTGCGGCACGAGAAGTTGCAACTGAAGGCTGTTAGTCGAAGTGTGGCAGAACCTCAAACTGAAACGAAGGTGTCAGCTTTTATGTAGGCTTGACTAGAGCCATCTCAGCGCCTCCTTTAAACTCGCTGGGGTTGAGGGGATGTCGCTCTTGAAACTGTGTTTGCTGTGTTTACTGTCGCTCTACCAAATTTGCTTGTAGAGTTCTGTAGTTAAATCTCAAACATAGCAGCCATTACGAAGACCAGGCCCGCCGGTGCGTGAAGCCCAGGCATGCAGGCGGCAATCAACCGTCCCCTTGCTGTCCTTCTATGCTTACACCAGGACATCCCCCCTCCCCTCCGGCAAAACTGAGTTTTCTTCCTATTGCGGCCCCTCGTCGAGAATAGGAACGAAAGGGGCCCAAATAATTGCCTAAATTATTTCGGGGGTTCCTTATAAAAACTACAGTATAGTATACCCCCAAACCCCATTCGAAGTATTAAGGCCTCTATAGTAGTTCAAGTGTTTGAAAGAAGGAGCCTCATGAAGCAGCACAGCTGTAGTTTAACCTGTTTACTGCGGCCCACAGAAGTCTTGGCCACGGTTTTCCTGCATCTCAGGCCGAGGGCGAGAATGGTTTTTCCAGCAAAGACGGGAAGCTTGGAGGAAGACACTGAGGGCAAAAGCCCCTGCCTTGCAGGAGCGTGCGGAGCAGGAAGAACCCTGCGCAAGCCCGCTTTGCAGTCACTAGACTCGGGAACCCCGACCCCAGCAACCGAACTTCTCTCTCCACGGTATAGTAGCTGCTGCTCTTCGGATGGTTCTTCCCCCGCTCGTCAGTGGTTCCAGTTCGCCGCAGTGGCTTTTCTGTTCTGCTTGCAATGCTGAGGCTTCTTCTCCACGTGGTTTGTCGAGAGTCAAAAGAGGTACTATAGGAGCATTGATAATTATCGGGGTTCTTTGATATAAATATAATATAATGGGCCCAAACCCCTATTGTGAAGGCCCCTAGCTGACTAACTTCAAACCCACTCTTCCGGGTCGAAGGCACGGCTGTGTTGATGGCTTCGGTAGTTTTATCTTACGATGCCATACCCTGAACGATGAAGCGTGAGCATAAGGCCATGAACCCGAAAAGCCTTAAGCCCCAGACTCCTAACACCCTTCGCCAGTCCTTTTGCCAGGATTCCTCCTGCGCATGCAGGGGTTCGCTGTAGGCTCCTGTGAGCATTTGGGTAAAGATGGATGTGCTCGCGCTCTGACTTGACTTTTCTAAGAGGCAAATAGCTTCAAACTTAAACCGTAACCTTTCATCATTCTAACCGTAAACATGCAGGACCGTGTCGTTATTACATTTTAACACTTCTTGTTACGATGCGTGCTATTTTATGCGTATTGCTACACCAACTGCAACACCTGCTGCTGCTGCTACTACTACTACTACTACTACTACTACTACTACTACTACTACTACTACTACTACTACTACTTCTACTACTACTACCACTACTACCACTACAGCTATGATTATGAGCATCATTCTGTTTGTGCTATCTATACCGACTGTTATGACGACCTAAACCCTAAACTCTAAACTCCCAACCTAAACCTCCAAACCCTAAGCCCTAAACCCGAGTGTAGGCCCCGTTGAGGCAGGCGCTTCAGAAAAGGAGTGTCATTGCACTTTAAAAAAAAACCCTAAACCCTATATGCCCCCAAGACTGTTATGAGGACCTCGGGTCCCGTCCTTGCCCTTGCTGCTCCAGGAGCTGCCCCGAACCCTCCCCACAGGCTCGTCTCACCTCGGAAGGCTTCCTCGCAGATTCTCAACTATACTATATCATGCCAGGATATACTATATTTTACTATATTATATTACATTACATTATACTATATTATATCTTACTATATTATATTAGAAGATTTTAGTCATTGTTTCGGATCGTAGGGTTTGTTATTCCGGGTTTGGGTTTTTCGGGGTGTCGAGCATAGGGTTTCGGGATTTGGAGAGTTACCGTTCGGGTTGGTGAACCCTCAGGAACAGTTCTGAGCCTAAGCTACTTGTTCAGACGCAGACAGGGCCTGGACAACCAGGAATATCTTCACCGAAGGCGTACTGTAGAGCGCCAGTCTAGTCTATATAGGCTGATATTCCTCCAGGTTTAGGGCCGAGTTTAGGGTTTCGGACCCCTTTCCTGCCGGCCGAAGCTTTCGCGAGTTCGAGACTTAAGGGGAGCATCGGATCGGATGGGGGCTGAAAGGAGGTTAAAGGCATGATGAAAGAAGCAAGGGGTTCTAGATCGACTTGCTCCCTGCAGGGCTGACGTCTTAGCTTTTCCTTTAAGGGTTTTAGGAGCTTAAGGCTTGGAGTTTTAGGGTCTTGAGCTTTAGGGTTTTCGGTTTAGGGGTGAGGGTCTTGGGTTTTAGGATTAGCAGCATCTCAGCAGGTGCGACTGCGGGATCCCGGAGCACAGGCGCGAGAAGTCAAAAGAGCAACACCATGCATGAGGGTCGTCGCAGCTGCGCACGGAAGGTTCGAGCGCAGCAGCTCAGGTTTGGGGTTTTGTCATTGTACACCCCAAAACAGGGACTCCCGAAGCGCTCAGTCTAGGTTGCCAAGGATGCCTTCCGCCCAAGGGGACAGCATTCACGCACAGACTGTGCATGTCGAGTGGACGCTAAGCCACCGTGAGCTTACGACTCCCCCAAACATTCAGGCCCCCTTCACCTCACGTGTTGACTGCGCGTTGTTTTACCTCATGCACCATCTCCTACGGCCCCCCCGAATCTCGAGCAAGACCTTTGCAGTTGCATCCGCATAAACAACAGATCGCAGTGTGCACATATTTGTATGCCTTTATGTACGCATTTACGCATGTACGTATGCACGCATGCACGCACTCAGGCACGCATGTACGCATGGACACAAAGCACGTATGCAGTTCTGTCGTCTGTCTCTGTGTCTATCTGTCCGTCTGTATACGTATGCATGCATGTATGTACGTATGCGCAGAAGCGACGTCGTCAGCTTTCCTACAAAATCGAATCGTTAGTGTGCGGTGCGTGCACTATATCTGCTTCTTTGAATGATGCAGTCTCACGTTGCGGTGGCCGGTTCACCTGAACTCATCTACACAGTCTGCTGCGGATTCTGCTGCGATCAAAGAGTCGCAGGCGCGGGTCTGGCAAGGACTCGGTGCTCACGGTAACTTGTGGGGTGAACCCTAAACCCTAACCCCTAAACCCTAAACCCTAACCCCTAAAACCCTAAACCCTAAACCCTAAACCTTAAACCCTAAACCCTAAGCCCTGGTATTCTGAGCCGCGCAGTCTGAAACCGCAAGTATGCAGACCCTGCACTGCAAATCTCGAAGAGCCCTGAAGTCGGGCCTCAAGCCCTAAGCGCTACCTTAACCTACCTTGCAAAACCCATTTTTTGCAGAACCAGAATATGGAATTTATATGGATCCTGCGAAAACGTGGGTTCTGGTAGGTCAAGATAAACCCCTAAACCTGAGCCCTCAGCCCCCCGCTACTAAGCCTCGGGGTGTCCGGATTGGCTTACTGTTGGTTAGTAGGGAATGGAAGAATGGTAGTAATAGTAGCCATAATTGTACCCCATTCCTCCAATCCCTACTAACCAAAGGTAAAGATCCCCTTAAAGGAACCCTAAACCCCTATAGATCCCTTTAAAGGAACCATATAGATCCCTTTAAAGGAGCCCTATTCCCTACTAACCAAAGGTAAGTTGGCGGTCCATGCCCATCTCTGGCGCCTGCTTTCCTCTGTAATGAACTTGCCGGGAGCACGGAACCGTCCCCGAAGTTTCGTAGCGTTGCGTTTTCTTGGGTTCAGGCTTTCGGCGATTTGGGGTTTTCTTGGTATTTTCCAAGGGTCTGTGGGCTTTCGCAAGTTCTACGAGGGAGGTTTTGAAGGTTCAGGGCTAGCACTGGTGGTGTTTTTGGTCTGGACAGCGCTGCTGGGGGTTTGGGGGAGTGCTGCCGAATGTTTGGGCAATACCCTGAAAATTATCCACAAAAGATGTTTAGGATACGAAGCTTGCCAATCATCGATTTCCTACTAGTCCTAGCACCAAGGGGTTTAAGGCAGAAAGGCGACTGAACGCCCTTATGAACCCAACCCCTAAACCCTAACCCTAAAACCCTTAAACCTCTAAAACCCCTACACCCTAAACTTTAAACTCCTGACCCCCTAAACCCCTAAAGCCCTGAACCCCTAAGCCCCCAAACCCTATGAAGCCGCAGTGCCCCTCAGTTCTGGCTCCCTGGCATGTGCCCCGCCGCAGTCTCCATGCGAGGCTGCCTATGGCAGATAGCGAACTAATCCCATGCATCCGCTGCTGCGGCAAAAGCGGGGAGCAGATGCTTCAGGGGCTTTCCTTTGGGCTTTAAGAGTTACAGCGAATGCTTCGGGAGCTTCAGGCCAGAGCTACAGGGCGGTTCAGCACTATATTGGGCTTGCAGGAAGCCGTCATTCCGGTTCATCCTATATCGTACCGTCTCAAGAGGCTATTTCACTTGCGCTTAGGGTTTAGAGCGAAGCCTGATTCCAACAAACCGGGCCGAAGCAGGCCCCATTTCCTAACCCCCTCCAACCCCAAGCCTCAAATCCCAAACTCCTGAAGCCCCCCCAAAATCTTCAACCCTTAAACCCTAAAAACCCTAAACCCCTAAACCCTCAAACATCCATCAATATGGGTCTGACTGTGCGATACGTGCGAGTTCTGCCGAAGCGAAGAAGGGCAAGTCGGAGCGAGCGTCGGTCGTGGGGGTTCGTGCCGAGACGAATATGAATACATATATATATATATATATGTATATTTCTCTATTTTTTAGACTTTTGTATACATATACGTACATATCATGTTATACTGCATTGTGTTAGTTTTCGTTTAGGGTTTAGGTGGTTTTTCTGGGGTGAAGGGCATTTGGGTGTAGGATTTCTAGGGTTTTTTGCTGACCCAGACTTTCTTCACACTACTGAGCTACCACCATTGGCATCGCTGCTTCTACTCCCGATAGTCTGCTTGTGGTGCATGCGCTCGCCTTCGCCAATAGGCTCGACACGAAAATGGACATGTGCATCGCAGGTTCGGCATCCCCACAAGAGAGTGGTTGTGGGTTTTGACCAGCACGCGAGCCGATAAGGATGGTGATCACAAAGCTCTCCACACAGCAAGAAAGCATACGGCCCAACCATCGCGCTTTGACAAACAAAGGCCTCCGGGCGTAGGCAGCCCTCTGCTGCTCCAGAAGGTGTCTTTCAAACAGCAGCGCACGGCTGCCCTCACGACTGAAAGCTCCGGCAGGGAGTGACGCAGGTACTCGGAGGGTCATTTGACTTAGTAAGTAGGGTTATAAATAGATATAACCACAGCGACCTTAATTATGACCCTACTTGCCAAGTCTAATAATCCTCTACGAATATGTAGTCCCAATGTGGGCCAAACATGATCGGGCTCTGAGCCACGCAGCTTCAGAAACTTAACGTCTCACGGAGCGGCCATGTTCGCTGCCCCTGCCCACAGCAAAGCAACGCCGGCCAGCCTTTGCCAGCCACAGTGGTGCCTTCGGTTGAGTGCACAAGGCTGACATGGGAATTGCAGAGCCCGAGCGACCCGAATCCTGATGGCGAGAACCCCTAGACACGGTAAGGAGGTAGTTCCACGTTTTCAGCCAAGGTGCGATGCCACGCAGCGATTGCACGCCCTGCAGGCCGGATGCCGTGAATTGCAGCAGAACTTGGCTTAGGCATTCAAAACGGAAGGTTGAGGTTACTTTAAGAAACCGTCAAGCGGGACAGAGCGCTAGGGTGGTTCCTGTAGCCCCAAGTCAAGCAGCTGCTTGCTTTCGGGGGTTGTTGTTCCAGCGGCTCCCTCAACCCAAAGTCCTAAAGCCAAACCCTAAACCCCAAGCTCTAGAACAAAAACCTTCTATAATACTTAAAACCTCAACCCTCCTTTAGACACCTTCAACCTAAAGGTCCCCGAGCTTCGAGCGGCCCCACGTGGGGCGCGTGGCCTCGGCAGCGGTGTCGCTGGCCTGGCGGTGACGGTTGGCTCGGCTGCTGGGTGGCAACGGTTTAGGGTTTAGGGTTTAGGGGTTAGGGTTTAGGGTTTAGGGTTTAGCAGAACGACGCACACATGAAACGAGAATTCTGAGGTGTGGTGGGCGTCAAGGCTGCGGCGAGCGGCAAAGCCGCTGCCGAGCAGGCCCTTCGGACTTTCTCGTGTTCTGTTTTCTTTACTCGTAACAGTTTTTGTTACTGCTGTCTTGCTTTTGTTGTTTGGTTTATTCCTCCACATTCCTTTCATTGCTTTCGAGAAGTGTGCAGTACTGCATATATATATATATATATACATATATATATATGTGCATGTGTATGTACATGTAGATGTCTATGCATACACACACATGTCATCTTAACAATATGAATAACATCAGAGTTAATTTCAATAATGGTTAAGTTTGGGGCCATATATCATCTAGCTTCTTCGCTCCGATCTTTCCCTCCGCGCTTACCAAAACTCCTCAAGGAATGTGGGTCAAGCTTGCAATCGTAAGCACTTTAAACTGTAACGTATGCTCCCTGAAGGAAGAAGTCTAAAACTCTCCGAGTCATTGCCGTCTTTTGGCTTCTGCTTTCCGCAGCGCACCGGTTTCCTCTAGATGCCAGCTCAGGGTATAGGCTTGAGGGGTGGAGATCCAAAATGTGTTGTCCTGTCGTGTCTTTCCAGGTGTTGGTTTCTCGGCCTCGGGCGGGTTTTGCCTGTTGGATACTGTACCACTGTAGCCACCGCTCGTAAAATAGGTGTAGCTTGCGACACTTGAGGTGCAGCTTCCTGGCCAGTCATCCACTAGTCGTCCCACGATCACCGGCTGCCCGGCGTTGCTTTCGTTGCTGTTACTGATAGTGCATGTAACAGTACTGTTGTTAAGCTTGTCCTTGGGCCAAGAGCTACTGTACTAGTAGCTGTTGCTGTTGTTGTCCCGCAAGCAGTGTTATTGCTTTTGCTATCGTTGTAGTTGCTCGCACCATTTTGTGTGGTCAATCTTGTTATCAGTTTATGCAGCATGCGTGCGCAGCTTCCTTCCTCCGCTCGAAGTCTTCAACTCCAAACCAAGACACTCTCCCACACAATATCTAAAGGATCTTGCGCCTTAGAAGTGTGGGGTATCAGTAATAGATTCGTTCAAGTAATGAACCCGCTCATCCGAAAAGCACCCCGAACCCGAAACTCTAATGCCTAAAGGCCCCAAAACCCCCCCAGACCGAATCCCCCACTTCACCGAGAACCCGAAGGGCCAACGTCCTTGAATCCTAAGCCCCAAGCTCTAAACCACAATGTAGGGGCCTTAATGATTAGAATAGGGTTTGGGGGGTATGTTGTACTAGAACTGTAATAAGGAGCCCCCGAAACCTTGTTCTAATCATTAAGGCCCCTATATCATCGTACTCTTCGGGCTCATACCCAGAGACTCCAACATCCCTTACTTAAGGAATATTCCTTAAATTATGGTAGGACCCCTAAGATGATTTAAGGAATATTCTTTAATTAAGGGATGTTGGAGTCCCTGGGTACATAACGCCCTGAACCCGAAAGCCCCAGGCTTGGAGACCAATCAGCTGTCGAGCTGCTGCGTCGGATAGTGAGGACCGGCGGAGTCCAGAGCGCATGTAGGGGCCTTAATCACTTAGAACGGGGCTCCTTTTAAGGGGTCCTTTAAAGGGATCTACAAGAGGGTTCTATAATGTAGGGGCCTTAATATTTAGAATAGGGTTTCGGGGGTTCCTCAGTACAACTATAGTATAACATACCCCCCATTGTATGTGAGTATTGTTCCCGTGAGTTCTTGACTATATACACAACTTAATGTGCCCCAAAGCCCCGTTCTAATTATGAAGGCCCCTGTGTTACTCAAGCCAAGTTACGGTTTGGGGTTTAGGATTTCGGGTGCAGAAATATCAGGAACTCCGGGTTTGGGGCTTAGAGTTGTGGGTTGCGGGATTAAAATCTTGCGTTGAAGGATTAGGATTTCGGGTTTGTCCTGGGATATAGCAAGTCATGTTAACATCATCTTCGAGTTCAGGACTTAAGGGTTGGGGGAGTCAGGATTCGTGTCCGGGGTTGTGGCTTCGTGGAACTATGTTCAGGCGTAGGCGGCGTAGGAAATATGATTTCGGGTGCTGTTGCAGATGATGATGCTGCCAGTATCATCATCACCACCAGCATCGCCATCGTGGACCATCGTCGTCATTGTCTAAGCATTCAACCCCGACACCCTGAACTTTAAGCTCTAAACCATGAACCCCAAACTCCCAAACCGTCAGTGTCACCCGGCTCCTTCCTACCAGGAGGTGAGTGTCCTCCCCGACTTGCCGGCCACAGAATTGCTTGAGCGACTCGGACGCGTGCGGGTTGAGGGGCGTTAGGGTTCAGGGATGTTCAGGGTTCGGGAGTCGGGGGATCTTGAGGTCTTTAGGTTAGTTAGCTATGTAACAATGTTGGCATGCCTTCATGACTGTAGGTATCTGCATGTGCGGGTGGGGCTTGGAAAGTGGATGGGCGCTTGTTGGTCCATCTCCGACCCCTTGACTGTACAAAGAAACACCCAATGTTGTCGAACAGTTGGGCATTGGGTCGATTCTTCCACCCTCTTACCTGTCCGAACCGGCTTAGTGTTTTTTCCGCTGTGAGCCATGAGATGTGGTTCACACCCTTCTGTATAATAGAGGGGCTTTAATAATTACCAATGCTATTGCAGAGATTCCTTATTAAACTTATAGTAGCACGGGCCCCAAAACCCTGTTCTAATTATTAAGGCCCCTATACTATAGTACCCTTATAGTATTCCTTATAGTAGCCCGTATAGACCCCTTCAAAGGAGCCATGTTCTATTTATGAAGGCCCCGATAGTACTCTAAGACTCCGGGCTTCCCTGCTGCGCCTTGCTTAAAGGATCATGGGACGTAGTAAGTCGGGTTAAAAGTACCTTACCTGGGGTTATAAGTTGATATGGGTAGTTGTCAAAATTATGGTCCCTTTTGGGGGTCCCTGATGGAGTACGGCACCTAATGTTTAGGGTACCCAAAAAAGGGACCATAATTTTGACAACCATCCGTATAACTATGGCTGCCTTGCTTATAGCCCCTCTCACTAAGTCCCCTGATCCTTCAAGTGGAGCTCCCCAAGACAGCTCTTTCACAGAAACATCCCATGGCCCTGGGTGCTGTGAGGCGGGTTCTTGCTGGCCTGGAGAAGGCCTGCAAATCCGTGGAAGGCAAGAGCCTCGCCTGCAGAAGACATGTGGAATTTGGGTATCAGGGAGACAGAAGCTAGGGTTTAGGGTTTACTGCGCGACTCTGGGGAATCCAGTGTGTCACTACGAAAGATCTCAGAGGGTTCCTGATTCAATCGGGGCGCACCTCCTCGGAGCATCGTAGACGTGCGCCTGCCACTGAGTGGAAACCAAATCGCTCTTCCGCCGATAGCCTAGCATTTCGAGACATACCTCAATCATTTTCAGGGTCCCTCTTTCTCAAACAGCCCCTCCCAAAACGCCAAACTCCCAAAGCCGGGTCCCACAAACCCCTACACCCTAAACCCTGAATCCCAAACCCTGAACCCTCAGCCCCAAACCCTAAACCCTCAACCCTAAACCCAAAACGGCAAACTCAGGATCGGAGGTCTTCGGAAGCAGATCCGTGACCCCGAGGAGTGGGGTTTCGGGCTTATATAGACGGTTTAAACTTTAGGTTTAACTGGCCTTTGTTTTGTTTTTATTTGGTTTAGTTTTTTTGAGCTTTTGTAGGGTTTGGGGGCTTGGGGCAGTAGGGTTCAGAGCCTTAGGGTTTTGTTTCGGAGTCTTACGTTTTTCAGGCTTTCGGGCTTCGTCGGGAGTTTAGATTAGTTGTGAAAGGGCTCGTAGGGGTTAGAGGGTTTGTCAGGCTTGAGGAGGTTTGATGGTTTTAGGTTTAGGGTACCCTGGAACCCAGACCCGACATGCAGAGGAGGCGGTTCTGTGGAGACGCGACTGAGCTGAGTTTAGGGTTTAGGGTATCAGGAGTCACCAGCACAGGAAACGGTGGGAAACGAGGTTTAGGGTTTAGAGGTTCAAGGGGTATTGGGTTTCAGGGTTTCGGGTTTGGGTTTCAGGGTTTCGGGTTTAGAGGTCAGGTTATGAGTTTGGCACCTGAGGGCATTTGTTGTCCTTCTCGCCGCGGTTGCGATGGTCGTTGTGTTTCTGTCTTGTCTTGTCTTTACGGTTAAGGTTAAATTCCGGTGAGTTTTTGCATCGGTGAAATCGGTAATGTTTTGTGCTTGGCATGATGCGCACTGCTGTGTTCAATGGCTATGAGCTCAAGTAGTATTCTTATTAGCACTGCTTCTTTCAACTATTTCTGACATTGCTGTTTTCTCTCCTTCCTTCTATGCCTATAGTACAGGATCTGTCCGAGTTCTGTGACTTACAGCTACTTGCCAGAGCTTAACCGGCGTGATTTCTCAAGAGGTTTGCAGAGCTCACAGAACAAGAGCTGTTCACCCCCTTCGTTTGAAGTGTTTGACCCTGAGCCTTAGACAAGTCCTAGACCTTGAAAAGCCTCCAACCCAAGACCAAAAAGCACACACCTAAACCACGGGTCCCTCTTCGACCCAGACTCTTCATCCCGAGCCCTGAGCTCAAGCTTCCAAGCTCCAAAGCTCCGCCGAAGTCGGGTAGCTTTGGGGCTCTTGGGCCGTACTGGTTTGCAGAGGTTGGCGTGTCAGAGATCAGTTTGACGCCAGAATCACTGAGCCCAAGGCAGGGGAGATGGGCTGCTGAACGTCCGGGAGCCATGGTATCCGGGCATGCCGCTGCGCTTGCAGTTTAGACGCGATGGTGTTTGGGGTGCTCGTGCTTTCGGGTGTTTGGGCGTTTGGGGCGCAAAAGGTTGCAAAGTGCGTTTTTAGAGGGCTTCTGGTTTTGAGCTTTGCGGCAGCGTGTTTCCGGAGGTTTTGGGGCTTCGAGGCCGGCTGTTTTCATGTTCTTCCGCTCTCCGAGACGTGGAAGCAGCTCTTGGTGCCACAACCTTCGTAGTAGAGCAGGTAACCTTTAACTTTTTTGGAGGTACCACCATCCCAACACAATCCCTATGGTCGACCTTTAGGACCTGTAGGATACTGGGCAAGGGAGCAACATTCCTGCGAAGCCCCAGTATGCAGCCTTCACTGAAAGCCCTTCCGTAGTGAGGCCTGCTTCAGCCCACTACCAGGGCTTGGAGGGTGGGGGGACGTAGCAAGTATTTATTTCAAAGCGCTATGAGTTTCAACATCCCACTTAGGATCCCCATTCAAAGTCCCCGACCCTGAAAGGCACAGCCTTAGAATTCTAAGGCTGTGCACCACATGCAATGATGCACCAAACTCTTCGCCCCAAGCTTTCAGCCGTTTAACCCGAAACCCCAGCAAAGCCAAAACCTAACCCTAACCCTAACCCCTCAACCCTAAAACCCTAGCCCCTAAACTCTAAATCCCTCATCCCGAAACTCTATAAAGCCAAGTCCCCTACAAGACTGAACCCCAATCCCGAACTAAAGCCTCGAACCTTACTCCTCAAATCCTAAAGCCTGGCGAACCCTCAACTTTTTAAGAACAAACCATAAACCCTAAAGCCCTACTCCCCAAACCCTAAGGCCTTGAAGACCCTAAACCCTAACCCCTGAACACTAAAGTCTAAACCCTAAACTCTAAACCCTAAACCTTAACCCTTAAACCCTAAACCCTAATCTCTAAACCCTAAACCCTAACCCCTAAACTCTAAACCCTAAACCCCGAACCCAGGACCGAGGTTGGCGTGCCCGACTACAGCAACCTTGGTGATGACGGCCTGCCTTTGCTGCCGCCCGGTTCAGGGTTAAGCGTTAGGGTAGGTTTAGGTGTTAGGGTTGGGGGGGAGGGGTTGGGTTTTTCGTTTAGGCTTCAGGGTGTTGTTTCGGGTTTCGGGTTGGTCTAGGGCCTAGGGTTAAGGGTTTAGGGTTTTAGGCAGCTTTGAAGGTTCAAGGCCTAGAGCATTTGTGTTTAGGGTCCTAGGAATGGTTTCTGCTGAAGGGAGTTTCCGAAAACAGGGGACCCTAGTATAGTACCCTGAATAGTAGGATCCTAATTATAGGACCCCAACATAAGGTACCCCTATTTTTCGGAAACTCCCATATAAGTGCTTGAATGCTTGAACGGATCAGAACTTTCGGTGAGCCCGGCCGAGGCCCTCCGTCCCTACACCTGCGGCTGTCATGGTCTACTTCGAGGATCATTGGACTTAGTAAGTAGGGTTACAAGTAGCCTAATTAGTGCTCTAAATAGACATAACTACAGTTACCTTACATATAATTCTACTTACTAAGTGCACTGATCCTCTAATAAGTAGGGTTTGGGGTTTGGGGGTAGAGCGTAGGGTTCAGCGTTCAGGATTTCGGTTTAGGGTTTGGCGGTTAGGAGATTCAGGGTGTAGTAACATGAAGGCTTTAAGGTTTCGGATTTTGGGTTTCAGATTTCTGCAGCAAACCGCGACTTGCGGATGAAAGCCCCCTGTGTTCGAGAAGGTTTAGAATTTTAAGGGCAGGGTCTTGCACTGGATCTATGGAGATCTCACATCTCGAAGTGCGAAGTTTTTCGAAGCTGCACTCCCGAAATTTCGCCCATCGGAACGGAACGACCACGAATGACTTGACTCCTTTGCTTTCCAATTCTATTACCCTTATAAGCCCTTCAGAGCCTTTGCAAAACCCGATCGATACCACTTTAGCTCCCCTTTAGAACCCGATGAGATCTGATAGAAATTTGCTTGAAAAAGTCCCCGAGGATCCGACCCCAAAGCCTTGCCATGAGGCTGACGGTGGAGCTTGACCCAAAGATGGACTGGCTCTGCGGGGATGGGGGCTTTTGTGGTTTGCGCTAGTGGGTTTTGGGCTTCAAGGTCGTAGCGCTTAGGGTTCAGGGTTCAGCGGTTTAGGTTCAGGGTTTAGGGTTTTGGGATTTAGAGGGTTCAGGGTTTAGGGTTTTCGGGTTCTTAGGGCTTAGGGGTGAGGCGGCCCAGGATCTGAAGGTCCGAACTTGCAGATGTTTGGGCCCTTGAACTCAAGGTATAATCTCGTGGAGTCCGGAATCAAGAGCCCTGAGCACCTAACCCCTATACCCTAAACCCTAAATCTCAAACCCTAAAGCGAAATCTGAGGCTCGTCTGAGGGTTTTAGGTGCAGTCTCTGAGCCCAAACATCGAGATGTGACGTGCAAGTGAGCTGAACCGGATCTTTTCGAGAAAGGGCTGTCTGTTGTCTTGATTTGTTGCTGTCTGTGTGTTGTCTGTTTGTTGTGCTGCAGTGCCCTCCTGCAATGAAGTGGGAGTTTCCCAAAATAGGGGACCCTGATCGAGTACCCTAAATAGTAGGATCCTTATAAGGACCCCAGAATAAGGTACCCCTAATTTTTGGAAACTCCCAAGTATTCTGTAGCTACGTTTCAGTTGGCCCGACCTCGTGGGCTGTCGGGCCGAAGCCCTGAACCCGATGGTTGCCAAGCATCTTGAGTCCAAGGGTAATAGTCCTACCCTTAATAAGGACCCCTAGGTATATACCCTTAATATAGCTGTTATATACCCATCATATAGCCCATAAAAGGGTAAGGGTCCCCATGAAGGGTCCCTCCTTTTCCCTTTTGATTGAGGACTTCAAGAAGAACGCGCAGCTCTGTTTCAAGCAGGCCAGCAACCAACATTCAGGGTCGGCCGGGTCCGAAAGTGGATAGGTGTAGGTCTGGGGTGTAGGGTTTAGGGCCTTGACGGTTTAGAGCAGAAGATGGTGGAGATGAGGACCCCTAGGCTAAGTTTTCCGGCCTGCTCGAGGGAGCCCTAAATTCACTGAGGCTGGGAAGATCGACAGAGGCATCGCGAAGTGCACGCCGCTGGTCGAGGTGGGCTGTTCTGCCCCGTGTGACGACTCGGACTCGGTCGGGTTTGGGGTTTACAATAGGGGCCTCAATAATTACCTATACTAATCTGGGGGTTGCTTATTATAATTGCAGTATAATGGGTCCGAAAACCTTATTCTAATTAATCATTAAGGCCCCTATATTAGACTTGATGCCGAGCCAGTGTTACTTGATGCCGAGCCGGTGTGGAGACGCTGCCCCAAAGCCTAGAGCCCTGCGTCCTTAAGCCCTCGAGAATCTTGAACCCACATGGAAAGCTGGGCTGCCAAGATCCCAAGGGCAGAGCTGATTCTCAAGTTGCCGTTGCAGCTTCTGCGAGGCGCAGGAGGTCGCTCTGAAGAGATGGAAGGGGCAGCTGCAGAAGGTGGAAGGCGGGGCGGCCATGCGGTTGGGGCACGTGGGAGTTGCGGTAAAGCCATAACGTACCCGATTCAGCCGGTTACGACAGGCGTCTTGGTGCTGGTTCGGCTCGTCCGACGTGTTGTGCAGTTTGCATTCCCGGCCAAAAACGTCGTCGGAGAGCAGCATTTTGCTCATGGGAGAGCAGACGTTTTGAAGAGGGCCTGGCAGTTTGCCTCTTCGCAGCAAGAACAGCACAGAACGAGGACCAGACAAGCAAACCGTCAACCTCAAATCGTTAATTTGCCTCATGCTCGTATTATCATTGCTATCATTACTATTCTTACTATATGATCATTATCAGTACTGTTATTGGTATTACGGCATCTGCATCATTGAAGAAGGTCTGCGCGACACTGCCGCAGCGGACGAAGTGGTCTTGGAGCAGGCGCTAAGTTGTCGCGAGCTTGAGATCCAATCTCTTGGGTGCGAAGCTAGAGTTGGAAAGTCCTCACCTTTTATGCTCTTTCGTGAGTCGAGCTTTCAAAAGATCAGGACACCAGGAAAACAGAATTACCTTGTTGTTGGTAGTGTGTCCAGGGGCCCTCATGCTGTACGCAGTAGGATCAGAGCAACCTCAAATGGGTAAGCTTGGGGTGAATAGCTGAATTGCTGATATGCAGTAAGCTACAGTTGCTTGGCCAAGAACCCTGAACTTTTGCCTCGTAATAATCATAAAAAAAATGTATACGCCAAGATATGAGCTAAAAGTGTAGTAATGCAATAAAGTACATAATCCCCCAGACCGAGCTTCCCTTTGGCAGTTGGCGCCGTTGTACCAAGAGCTTTGCGAGGAACGGTACATCAGGACCGAGCGAAGCTTCCCCCGGGTTTCGCCGACGTCATAGCGCTTGATGACATAAATCCTGCATTACCCATGGGCACCACAACCGTGGCAGGTAGTATTGCCGCCAAGTGCATGGTTAGAATTATTCGTCACAGCAGTTGCAGTAGTGGTGGTAGTGCTGGTGTACTGGTGTACTGGTGTGGCGTTGGCGATGGTAGTAGCAGTAGCAGTAGTAGTAGCAGCAGTAGTAGTAGCAGCAGCAGGAGTAGTAGTAGCAGCAGCATAGTAGTAGCAGTAGTAGTAGTAGTAGTAGTTGTTGTAGTAGCAGTAGAAGGAGGAGTAGTAGTAGCAGCAGTATGAGGAGGCGTGGTAGTAGTAGTTGTTGTAGTAGCAGTAGAAGGAGGAGTAGTAGCAGGAGTAGCAGGAGTAGCAGGAGTAGCAGGAGTAGCAGGAGTAGCAGGAGTAGCAGGAGTAGCAGGAGTAGCAGGAGTAGCAGGAGTAGCAGGAGTAGCAGGAGTAGCAGGAGTAGCAGGAGTAGCAGGAGTAGCAGGAGTAGCAGGAGTAGCAGTAGTAGTAGTAGTAGTAGTAGTAGTAGTAGTAGTAGTAGTAGAGTAGTAGTAGTAGTAGTAGTAGTAGTAGTAGTAGTAGTAGTAGGATTGGTGAATGGAGTAAGGGTCGGAGTAGGAGTAGTGCGATCGTTAGTATTGTTGTTGGTGTCGTTGGGGGTATTGTCGTTCGTGCCCTTCGTG